ACCGTCTTGTGACTCAAATGCCGGCCTACGTCTCCTTCCCTCCCCCAATATTCTTCATAACCACACAAAGACAAACTGGCAAACCATTCAGCTCGGTTTCTCAATTCGCCACTCCGTACAAATTACGACTATTTTGTCTAGCCAAAACTTCCCGAACCCAACCAACCCACCTAACCTATCGAGGCCAATCCACACAAACCTTCGATATAACGCTGCTTTCACACTTAGCATTTAAAAAAAATGGCGAATTGCGTTAAACCCGCGACATACTACATGAGAGAAGCTGTCCCTATACCCAGCCTCCACCCACAATAATAATTATTATTATTACTATCTTTATTGACAAAATCAATTACAATTTTGCCTAATCTGAGGATTTCGATTAAGTCTTATTAAAGTGAGGATAATGCTGGTTTTCACTGTCACGCAGGACAGAGGGTCATACACAAGACAATAAGTCCAAACTGTAGGCTGAAGCACATATATATCATGGTTACAATCAATGTTTTAATGTACGGATATGTGGAAACAACTTCCTATTGCAATAATAATGAACCAAACACCGCACTAGGGAGGCCGTTCTTCAAGGCGTCATATTTACGAGGGTGGACGCCTTTTAGTGATATTGGCTCAGCGTCCCCGAGCCCAGTTCCCGTTGAAAGCATCGCTGTTTTCTATGTCGAGTAACTCTGGTGTTCTCATGATAATTTGTTCTAACTGCCCGAGCGCTACGGAAGGCTGCTAAGGCAATCCTCGCTCTTTGTTTGATTCATAACGCAACAAGCAAAGATTGATTTGCTTGATTGTTGATCCCCCTCTTCCTCTCCCCCAGCCATAAAAATTACGATGAAGATGATTCGTTAAATATGAAATTGGCGAGGTGACGGCAGTCAACTGAAGCAATTAAAAATGTGGAAAACACGAATAACGAGCACAAATTTATTATGTAAATAATTAACTCTTCTGTACGTGTGCGTGTGTTCACAGTTGTGGATGCAGGGTTGAGCTTTAGCTCTTGGACTCTTGGACGGTTTTCTAATGCAATAATTCACAGCCTATTTTTATATCGTATATATTTTTGGAATTATGAATGGAGTCTGCTTGAACAACCTGTTCATTTAATTCATTCCATTTGCCACTACTCACGCTAAAATAAGTCCTTCTATCTTCTCAAAACTCATCTGTTTCTCAAGATTCCATCCATGTCCTCTTCTTGTTTTGGAATTCAGTGTGAATATTTTTCTCTTTTTTTCCACTCTCAATCCCGCTAAATATTTTGTATGTCTCTGTCATGACTCCCCACAGTCTCCTTTTTTTTCCTAGCGACGTTAAATCTAGTTTTTTCAGTCTTTCTTCATATCAGATCCCTCACAATCTGGGAAGAGCCTCGTTACAACCATCTACACCTTCCTAAGTTTGTTATGTATGTGTATGCAAGTGTGTTTGTTTGTTTGTGTGTTGGGTGTATGCATGTGTGTTATTCATCTCCTGGGTCATATCTTGAGATGATTTCGGGGATTAGCGTCCCCGCGGCCCGGTCCTCGACCAAGCCTCCACCCCCAGGAAGCAGCCCGTAGCAGCAGTCTAACTCCCAGGTACCTATTTACTGCTAGGTAACAGAGGCAGCAGGGTGAAAGAAACATTTTGCCCATTTGTCTCCGCCTCCACCGGGGATCGAACCCGGAATCTCAGGACTACGAATCCGAAGCGCTGTCCACCCAGCTGTCAGGCGCCCACATGTGTGAGCGTTCTTACACATTCTTTATTGCCCACTCATGATTAATTCTGTGAAGTGTCGAACCAACTTTTGACGCCTAACCCAATGGTTACATAAATGTTTCTTTAAGGTGCTCCAATAACCTCGTTGTTACGGTGAACGAGAGTTAAGGCTGTGCACCTGCGCTCACCAGCCACCACTCATATTATGTCAACATTTCCATTATAATTAAAACAAACTCAATCAATCAATCAAGAGATGCAACACTCCTCTATCCTCGCTGGAAGTAACACATCGCAACACACCAAGTGTTCCGAACGCACTCAATTACACATGTCATCTGTATCACACACTCCAACACACACACACACACACACACACACACACACACACACACACACACACACACACACACACACACACACTCACACACACACTCAATTACACACACGTCATCAGTACCACACAAACACTCAATTACACACACTCCAATAACACACACACACACACACACACACACACACACATATACACACACACACACACACACACACACACACACACACACACACACACACACACACACACACACACACACACACACACACACAATTACACACACGTCATCAGTACCACACAAACACTCAGTTACACACACTCCAATAACACACACACACACACTCGAACCCCCCCCCCACACCACTGAAACAAACTATATCCCAGAAGTAATTGGGTAAAAAATATTTTCCAAGTAACACAGACCCTAAACTAGCCAGAACATTAGACGTGTAGTCTCCAGGGAACAGCAGTTTAAACCACCCAAACAATGAAGCAATTACTAGTAGGTAATCTTTCTTCCCTCCCAAGCTCTTACTTTCTCTCCCTAACGCTCCAATTCAAGTTTTTTGTCTTCCGGTTGTTGGTACAGAGAATGTCTTACTTCATGCAGGTCGGCGTTCGATCCTTCATGGTACAGGTACATACCTGCTTGATGGGGTTCTGGGAGTTCTTGTGCTTCCCAAGCCCGGCCCGAGGCCAGACATGACTTGTGAGAGCTTGGTCCACCAGGGTGTTGCTTGGAGCGGCCCGCAGGCCCACATACCCACCACAGCCCGGTTGGTCCGGTACGCCTTGCAGGAAACAATCTAGTTTCCTCTTGAAGATGTCCACGGTTGTTCCGGCAATATTTCTGATGCTCGCTGGGAGGGTGTTGAACAACCGCGGACCTCTGATGTTTATACAGTGTTCTCTGATTGTGCCCATGGCACCTCTGTTCTTCATTGGTTCTGTTCTGCATTTTCTTCCGTATTGTTCACTCCAGTACGTTGTTATTTTACTGTGTAGATTTGGGACCTGGCCCTCCGGTATTTTCCAGGTGTATATATTTGATATTTCTCTCGTCTCCTTTCTAGTGAGTACATTTGGAGAGCTTTGAGCTCTGAGCTTCGGCCCTCCAGGTAACATAATTATCACAAGATCGTTGAATTGTTTCTAGCGAAGGATAGACGTATTACCCAAATACGAGCTGCTTTGTATTGGCTAAATAGGAGCTGCCTTCTATTGGTCAATACGCCTTCTGCTGTATCATTAATTCTTATCACCAATTATCTGAATTGAAAAATACAAAATAAATCCATTTAAAAAATACAAAAATAATCAAAATAAATCCATTTATTTATTTACATAACACACACAACAGAGCAATAACGCCTCTGCTTCCTTTCCCACGTTCTAAATGTTCCAGATTATTGTGGAGTAAATTTTTGAACTGTCTCATTCACAATTTAGAGGACCAATTTGGAGTCAGAGCGGTAATTTGCAGGTTCATTACTAGTTTGTAATCTAGGAGGGATTACTGCATAATTAGCTTACTGCTAAATTGGTGATTACAGGGTCAATTGAGGTCGGGGCCCGCTACTCTGGCAACGCTTTGGCCATTTTCTATAAATAGCTGACTTGATTATATCGTTCGGATCCAGAGATGACTGAAGCAACTTGATTACGTTGTCTGGTATCAGAGATAACTTGCGGTTACCTTGCGATGATTTCGGGGCTCAACGTCCCCGCGGCCCGGTCCTCGACCAGGCGGCCTCGTTGATGGACTGGCCAACCAGGCTGTTTGACGGGGCTGCTCGCAGCCTGACGTATGAGCCATTGCCTGGTTGATCAGGTATCCTTTGGAGGTGTTTGTCAAGTTCTCTCTTGAACACTGTGAGGGGTCGGCCAGTTATGCCCCTTATGTGCAGTGGAAGCGTGTTGAACAGTCTCGGGCCTCTGATGTTGATAGTTCTCTCTTGAACACTGTGAGGGGTCGGCCAGTTATGTCCCTTATGTGTAGTGGAAGCGTGTTGAACAGTCTCGGGCCTCTGATGTTGATAGTTCTCTCTTGAACACTGTGAGGGGTCGGCCAGTTATGCCCCTTATGTGTAGTGGAAGCGTGTTGAACAGTCTCGGGCCTCTGATGTTGACAGAGTTCTCTCTCAGAGTACCTGTTGCACCTCTGCTCTTCAACGGGGGTATTCTGCACATCCTGCCATGTCTTCTGGTCTCATGTGGTGTTATTTCTGTGTGCAGGTTTGGGACCAGCCCCTCTACTATTTTCCACGTGTAAATTATTATGTATCTCTCCCGCCGGAAGCACCGAAATCACGTTGCGAAATCACGAAATCTTCATGATCAGAAGATGAAGACAAAAAAAAATCGTTGCAACAACCTTACCTTGAGGTTACCTTGATGTAGTTTCGAGGAACAATGTCCGCGCAGTACGGTCTCTGACCAGGTCTCCTAGTTGGTGGTCTGGTCAACCAGGCTGTTAGACGTGGCTTCTTGCAGTCCCGATTTGGCATTGCAAGAAGTTAAATTTCCAGAAGGCTCTTCCTGGTGTATCAACCCAACCACTTGGGCTGGACGGTAGAGTGAAGGTCTCTTTTCAAGCAGATCGGCGTACAAACCCCGACCGTCCAAGTGGTTGGGCCACCATTCCTTCCCCCGTCCCATCCCAAATCCTTATCCTGACCCCTTCCCAGTGCTATATAGCCGTAATGGCTTGGCGCTTTCCCTTGATAATTCCTTCCTTCCTTCCTTCGAGTGTATCATGATATACAAACGCTGGCGGTCCACAGCTCAGTTGGTGGTCCAGCTTTTCAAGTCCTACCACAAGACCTGAGACCGGAGACCATGAGACCTGTTTACACCAGACCCTCGACGCTAATGGTCTTCTGGCCCCAACAAAAATCACTAATTCCTCGTCTCGGATTTAATTACTCACCAGCATTAGGGAGAAATGTGCTTTAAGAACCCACACTCCTCCAGACCAGAGGAACCCGCACTCCTCCAGACCAGAGGAACCCGCACTCCTCCAGACCAGAGGAACACACACTCCTCCAGACCAGAGGAACCCACACTCCTCCAGACCAGAGGAACCCGCACTCCTCCAGACCAGAGGAACACACACTTCTCCAGACCAGAGGAACCCACACTCCTCCAGACCAGAGGAACCCGCACTCCTCCAGACCAGAGGAACACACACTCCTCCAGACCAGAGGAACCCACACTCCTCCAGACCAGAGGAACCCACACTCCCCCAGACCAGAGGAACCCACACTCCTCCAGACCAGAGGAACCCACACTCCTCCAGACCAGAGGAACCCGCACTCCTCCAGACCAGAGGAACACACACTCCTCCAGACCAGAGGAACCCACACTCCTCCAGACCAGAGGAACCCACACTCCCCCAGACCAGAGGAACCCACACTCCTCCAGACCAGAGGAACCCACACTCCCCCAGACCAGACGAACCCACACTCCTCCAGACCAGAGGAACCCAGACTCCTCCAGTGTAAGAACAGTGAGCAAGGGGAACCTCAAAGGTGAGCTGGTTGAGGCTAACTCAATACGTTTTCAAGAAGAGGTGTGTTAAGGCAGTAGTCTTAACACACTGGAGTACGGAAAGGTGGGGCTCAGGGGCTGATGTTTGCCCTAACACACACACACACACACACACACACACACACACACACACACACACACACACACACACACACACACACACACACACACACACATACAAACAGGTATACCACTAGGCTAGTCCCAGAACTAAAAGACATGAGTTATGAGGAAAGGCTGCGTAAACTGCACCTTACGTCGCTAGAAGACAGAAGAGCTCGAGGAGACATGATCATCACATACAAAATTCTCAGGGGAATTGACAGGGGTAGACAAGGATGGATCATTTAACACGGGTGGTACACGCACAAGGGGACACAGGTGGAAGCTGAGTACGCCAAATGAGCCACAGAGACATCAGAAAGAACTTTTTCAGTGTCAAGAGTAGTTAGTAAATGGAATGCATTAGGCAGTGATGTGGTGGAGGCTGACTCCATACACACCTTCAAATGTAGATATGATAGAGCCCAGTAGGCTCAGGAATCTGTACACCAGTTGATTGACAGTTGAGAGGCGGGACCAAAGAGCCAAAGCTCAACCCCCGCAAGCACAACTAGGTGAGTAAAACTAGATGAGTACAGGGATAAAGTGAACCTGTTGCTAATTAAAGACATAAAATATCGTAATCATCTATTGTCTTCCGATTTACGTGATGTTATTTCCCTCCCTAGTAAATGTTGGAGGCTGGTGGCGCCTCTCTCCAACACTCCAGCACTGAGGTGTGGTGGGGAAGGTGGGGGGGGGGGAATCGTTAATATTCAGGAAGAATTCTTATGTGTGGCATTTATATAAATATACATATATACATCTTATCATACAGGAGAGAGAGAGAGAGAGAGAGAGAGAGAGAGAGAGAGAGAGAGAGAGAGAGAGAGAGAGAGAGAGAGAGAGAGAGAGAGAGAGAGAGAGAGAGAGAAAGAGAGAGAGGGAGAGAGGGAAATGAGAAAGAACATATAATAGTGAGTGAAAGTAAAGAAATAGGAGAGAGGAGGCAATAGAATAAAGAATGGGGGGGGGGGGGGACACAAAGAGAAAACAGATAAGAGAGAAGATGGAGAGGTATGGCAGGAGAGAAAGAGCCAGGACGAGAGTGTGTGGGGTTACCAACATTACCAGCAGTTAATGGTCGTTGACCCAAGTCCTTGATGGTCTCGGCCATCTGGGGAACATTTTGGGCACCAAAATATCTTCCCATAACTTCCCTGGCGCCCCTCCAACTGACCGGGGACTTCCCTCCCACCTCCCTCCCATCCATCCCTGGTCTTGTAAATCTCTTCCATCCACTCTCATCACCTGTTTCCTAATTCACCATTTCCCGTCCCTTTTCACATCCTAACCTTGAGGTCATGATTTTACCTTGAGGTGATTTCGGGGTTTAGCGACCTCCCGGCCCGGTCCTCGACCAGGCCTCCTCGTTGCTGGACTGGTTAACCAGGCTGTTGGATGCGTCTGCCCGCAGCCTCATGTATGAATCACAGCCTGGTTGATCATGTATCCTTTGGAGGTGTTTATCAAGTTCTATCTTGAACACTGTGAGGGGTCGGCCAGTTATGCCCCTTATGTGTAGTGGAAGCGTGTTGAACAGACTCGGGCCTCTGATGTTGATAGAGTTCTCTCTCAGAGTACCTGTTGCACCTCTGCTCTTCAACGGGGGTATTCTGCACATCCTGCCATGCCTTCTGGTCTCATGTGATGTTATTTCCGTACACAGATTGATTACCAGTCCCTCTAATATTTTCCAAATTGTAAATTATTATGTGATACACACCTCCAAACTATACTTGATCGGGCTGTAATTCATACATCAGACTTGGAACCAACTCAAGTCAACCTCGAGGTAATCTCAAGGTAACCACTCCACTTACAACTGCTTTTCATTTGTCCATTACTCTTGACACTTGAAAACTTCTTTCTAATATCTCTGTGTATCACTTGCTTACTCAGGTCCACCTGAGTAACACCCAGGTAACTGGTGCCATTAAAATTCATCATTCATCTAACGAAAGATGTAATCTCGACTCAGCTCCTCGATAGGAAGAGTCAAAAAGGAGAGGATAAGGCTCTGTGATCAAATTTGATGGCGGCTTATTAAATGGTGAAACACTCTTAGTCTGTCTCATATCCTCTGTTTACAATAAAGGGGGCTTCACTATTGATTGGTGGCGTATTCTTGTGGCATACGATTACTTTCACAACTGACTGCTTCTTTCATTAATTTTTTTCATTCTGGGTAAAATATGGATTTCATTGGCAGCTGCCTTCAACGATGACCGCTTCATGATGCCTTCATTCACCGAGGGGGGCTTCTTCTTCTTTCACGGACGTCAGCCTGACCTATCATCCTGCAGTTCCATTAAACAATCTGAACGGTGCTTTAGTCCTTGGTACCGGCGGGGGAAAATTACACGTCTTTGAAGGAGTAACTTATTTAATTGGAAGCTGGTTTCAAAGCTGATAATTATCTCCCCCCCCTCTCTTCCCCCCACTATCCCCTCCCCCCCTTTTCTTCCCCCCCTTACGCTGTCCCTCCTCTTCTATCCTTCATAAAACCTCCCGTTTTCTTTATCATTGCCTTTCCTTCCTCTCGTCTATTCCAATTCTTTCGTTCGGCCAGACCACCATCCACGAGGCCTGTTCAGAGACCGGGCCGCGGGGACGTTCATCCTCGAAATTACCGCATGGTAAGGTAGGCCTATGTTGCATCCCCCCCCCCCCGCCCGCCCGAACACCTGCACTATTAAGGGTGAAGAATAGGAAAGTCAGGCTTTCCTATGGAAGGTGGAAATAGCGAAGGAAAGATAGGAAAAGGGGAGGAGAGAGAGGGAGAGAGAGAGAGAGAGGGAGAGAGAGAGAGAGAGAGAGAGAGAGAGAGAGAGAGAGAGAGAGAGAGAGAGAGAGAGAGAGAGAGAGAGAGAGAGAGAGAGAGAGAGAGAGAGAGAGAGAGAGAGAGAGAGAGAGAAGAGAGAGAGAGAGAGAGAGAGAGAGAGAGAGAGAGAGAGAGAGAGAGAGAGAGAGAGAGAGAGAGAGAGAGAGAGAGAGAGAGAGAGAGAGAGAGAGAGAGAGAGAGAGAGAGAGAGAGAGAGAGAGAGAGAGAGAGAGAGAGAGAGAGAGAGAGTTCCAACTAATGAACAGTTTTGAGATGTGGTCTTGGAGGCCCTGGAGAGAGTAGCTTCAATACTCTCCAAATTACCATATTACCCTCCCTTGGATTGGTGCTTTTCATGGGCTGAGACGTCCATTTTCTGTGGGAAGGGGAGACCCCCCAACCCGTTGAGTACGAAGGCTTTATGAGATGCGTGAGGTTCCATTAGTGAGGATGGGAGGGAGGTGGGAAGGTGGGAGGGATAAAAAGGAGACTGGGTGTGGGAGGGAAGGACCAAGGGGTGGTAAAGACGGAAGAAGTGAGGAACGAACTACAAGGAAAAACTGCTGGGGCTGTCGCCATCTATAGTTTATATATGACGTTATATAAAGGGGGGTCGGGAGTCACGACCGAGGGGTTGGGGTCCAGCAACCAGAGCTCGTTTCTCCAAACTATTTCATAAACACTGTAAAGTGCTTACAGGACTTATGAATATATATCACTGTACACCACCTACGTGAGAATAGTTTTAGAGAATGCCGCCCCCTCTAAACCTCTCCCAGGTAACCTCTCGGAGCCCCCTCTTAAAAAAACACATAAGGAA